ATGAATCTTATCATTGCCTACAAGACCTCTTACGTAAAGCGCGTCGGGCTGATATCGTGATTCTAGCAGGAGACATGAATGCTAGAGTAGGCCGACTGACTTCGAGTGAGGCGCATCTGAGTGGTCCTTCCGGACTAGATTCCTGTCATTCGGAAAATAGGGAACGGTTGTTGGCTCTTTGTTCCGACCACCGCCTATTACTCGCCAGTACAAACTTCAGACGATCTAACTGCCGGTACGCCACTTGGCGTCCGCCCTCCTCTAGTCAGATGCGGACACAGATCGATCACATCACTATAAGCTACAAATGGCGGGGTTTTATACAAGACTGCCGATCGTACTGGAGCACCCCCTCAAATCCGACCACGCGTTAGTTTGCGCCAAGCTGTCCATGTGCCTTCGGTGTCGTTCTAAACGCTTGACACATAGACGGTTAGACTATGACCAATTGTCTGAACCAGCACACCTAACTGTCTTTCAGAACGCGCTAGCTGAAAAGCTAGAATTAACCCCATTCGATGACGTTAACCAGCACTGGTCGCTTATCAAGAATGCTCTGCATTCTGCTGGCTTAGTTAGTTGTGGTCTGACACGTCGTGCCTTGACACCTTGNAGTCGTAACCTCAACGTAAGCCTACGCAGAGATCGCAAGATCTGGTGGACCAAACGCGCGTCTGAGATGGAACGTGCTGCCACCGTAGGAAATTTCCGTAAGCTGTTTCATCTCATCCGGGTCACCGGTAGGAAAGCCTTAGGTGTCAGCGAAACAATCTGCGAAGCTGATGGTTCGCCAATTCACAATCAGCAACGACGTCTTGAACGCTGGGCAGAGCACTTCAAAGCACAGTTTAGCTGGTCACCCGCGCCAGCTTCTCACACAGCGATTCCGGCACACGTCCCATGGTTTGTCACAACAGACTCATCTTCTGAGAAGGAAATCCGCAAGGAGATCCAAGCCTGGAGTCGTCACAAAGCGCCGGGCTCCGATGGCCTTCCCCTGCTCTATTTGAAGATGGTGGAATAAGGCTTGTTAGAGAACTCCACGTCCTGTTCTCCAAAGTGTGGAACACTGAGCAAGTCCCGTCCTCGTGGGGGGGAATCGATTGTTGTCCCCATCTTCAAAAAGGGCCC